AAAAAAAAAAAAAAAGTAGGAACTGAGACCTACTGGAAGCAACAGTTGGTGACTTTCACCTGGAAACCATCAGAGCCAGGGATAAGGCCTCAGATGGCCACGGTTTTGCCTGGCACTTCAGTCTGTTCAGTGGGATTTGTGAGGCCTTCACCCCCAGGTATACCCACCAGCATCTGAACAGCTATAAGAAAAACACATAAACTCAAGAAGTGTAGAAAGCACTTCAGACTTTTGGAGTTCTCTGACTTCTCAGATGTTTAATGTTGTTTCGCCAGGGTCTGACTTCACTGATGGAGAATAACCCCACCAAAGACACCACAGGCCCAAATGCTGAGCTTCGTTAGAAAGCTTGGTTTACCTGATAGCATTTAGGAGCTGTGGTACTCTGTCCTTCAGGAAGTATTGAGTATTTACTAAGAAAAGTGAGCTATTGCCTTAGTAGGGCAGAGCTCACCTTATCTTCCCTTTCCATAGCTCATCATGTTTAGAACATCTTGAAACTACCCTGTTGTGATGGTCATTTGTCACTTTTTGCCACTCTCACAGTCCCTTACACTCCTCTATCATCTTACCCAGCTCAAATTTTATTTATTTATTTTTTAAAGACAGGTCTTCCTCTGTCACCTAGGCTAGAGTGCAGTGGCACGATCTTGGCTCACTGCAACCTCTGCCTCCTGGATTCAAGCGATTCTCCTGCCTCAGCCTCCTCACTAGCTGGGATTACAGGCACCCACCACCACACCCAGCTACTTTTTGTATTTTTAGTAGAGATGGGGTTTTGCCATATTGGCCAGGCTGATCTAGAACTCCTGGCCTCAAGTGATCCACCTGCCTTGGCCTTCTAAAGTGCTGGGATTACAGGCGTGAGCCACCACGCCGGCCCCACCCAGCTCAAATTCTGTAGTCATTTTTTATCACTCTTGTTTGGCCTTTCATTTCTTCCTTGTGCTTATTGGCAAGACCACAATCTCTTACATCTGACTGTCTCCCTACCCTGCCCCTGAATACGGCCCAAGAAAAACACATCGAAGCTGAGTGGTTTCACACTAAATTCATGACCACTTAGCTCAGGTGAGCCCTTACTGCAGTCCAGAATTGTGTCCACTTCTCTTAAACGACAGTTTCATATCCTATCTTTGTAAACCTCCTGTACCTCCAACCCCCATCTCGGTTACAGCTGATGACCTAGCTTCCTATTGCGGTGAAAAAAATGGAAGCAGTCAGAACTTCCGCAAGTCCCCTGCTGGCCACCGTGTGCTCTCATGCTCTTCCTCCAGATCAGGGCAGGTTGGAACTGGCTAACTCTGTCGTGGGGGCTGTCCTGTGTCTTGTAAGATGTTTTGCAGCGTCCCTGGCCTCTATTCACTAGAGGCCTGTAGCACACATCCTCCCCTGCCACCCAGTTGTGATGACCCAAAATGTCCCCTGGGGGACAAAACCTTGGGAGCTATTTGGCAATGTCTGGAGACACTTTTGTTGGTTATGACTGGGAGAGGGGGAGTATAGGCACCCAGGAGGGAGAGGCCAGAGACACTGCCAAACATCCTGTGGTCCCAGCTACTCCAGAAGACTGAGGCAGGGAGGATCCCTTGAGCTCAGAAGATCGAGGCTGTAGCGAGCCATGATTGCACCACTGCACTCCAGCCTGGGTGACAGAGTTCTAAAAAAAAAAGGGGGGGGGGCGGAGTGCAGTGGCTCACGCTTGTAATCACAGCACTTTGGGAGGCTGAGGCAGGCAGATTGCTTGAGCTCAGGAGTTCGAGACCAGCCTGGCCAACATGGCAAAACCCCATCTCTATAAAAAATACAAAAAAATTAGCCAGGCTTGGTGGTGTGCAGCTGTGGTCCCAGCTACTCTGGGGGACTGAGGCAGGGAGGATCCCTGGAGCCTAGAGAGGTCGAGGCTGTAGATCATGCCACTGTACTCTAGCCTGGGTGACAGAGTGAGACCCTGTCTCAAAAACAAAAAAAACAGAAAAAGCTCTCTTAATTCCACTTCCACCTGTGCTACTTCCATTCCTCAGCTCTCCCTTATAACACCATTCTTAGAGTTGTCTTTGGTGCTCTCTCCAGTTCTGTCCCCTCATTGGGACTTGTCCTAGCTCTCCACCAAAATTCCTCTAATCCAGTGACTTCCGCATTGCTCCACAGAATAGCTCTTCTTTTTCATCAGATTTGATCTACCAGCAGCATTGAAAACAGCCCATCACTCCGTTTTAAGGTACTCTCCTCTTGGCTTTTCGGATGTGGCCTTCTCGTGATGTTTGTTTCCTCTCCCTGCATACTCGCTTTCGGTCACTGTTGCTGGCGCCTAATCTCTTTGTCCTTTAAACACAGATGTACCGCAGAGGTCTTGGTGCTTGGACTTCTCTATGTATTCTCGCCACCGCAGCAACCTCATTCACTCTAATGGCTTTCGATATCATTGAGAACCTAGAAGATTCCAAGTGTATATCTCTAGTCTAGACTTTCCTCCCAAACTCCAGACCTACATGTTCAGCATCTCCATTTAGATGTCTGTTAGGCATCTCACATGTCTGTGTCCATGCTCCTGATCTCTGCCCCTAAATCTACTCCTCTCTCTGTTTTTTAAAGACAGTTTTACTCTGTCGCCCAGGCTGGAGTGCAGCAGCGCCATCTCAGCTCACTGCAACCTCCGCTGCCTGGGTTCAAATGATTCTCATGCCTCAGCCTCCCAAGTAGTTGGGATTACAGGCATGCACCACCACATCTGGTTAATTTTTTTTTTTTTCTTGAGACAGAGTTTTGTTATTGTTGCCCAGGCTGGAGTACAATGGTGCAATCTCTGCTCACCACAACCTTCGCCTCCCAGGTTCAAG